CGAGGAGGAGAGAGAAGAGAGAGCACCTGGTCCAATGACCAGGATGGCTCAGGCGGTGCATGAGCAGGCAGAGGTGAAATAATGTATGAGACAGCTTGCGGAACAGAGCAGAAGTAACAACTACCCCAAACGCAAGCTGAAGCAACTCCGCTAGCACCACTCAATACGAGACAACAGTATTCGGCATAAGACGACGGTCCTGAAACAACCAAGAAAGGAAGGACAAGACAAGCCGATCTGAAACAGAAGCGAACCTACGGAGGGACAATAAATAATGAAAGGATTGTCAGGAAACTTCGTACTGCCGCCGAGACAAAGCACGCACTTGGGACACCATCAACAAAGCCACTTGCTCACCATATAAACGGTGATGGACCCGCGTCAGAAAGACCAGATGCGAAGATTTGAGAACATCGAACCAGTTACGCAATGGACTGGTTCGATCTGCTGAAAGAGGCGGAGCTGAGGTAAGACCCCCAGGTCCGAACACCGAGAAAGAAGCTCCTGAAACCAAGGCTGGGCCGGCCACCAAGGTGCCCACAGGACTACTCTCACTTGGTAAGTCTCCATGCGAACCAGGACCCGGATCAACAGCGGAACTGGGGGAAAGAGGTACAGGTAACCCCCACCTCAACCAGTCTTGCATAAAGACATCGACTACGCCGTCATGAAGAGATCCATCTCCGGGAGCCTGTACATCCGGCAGAGCCAACTGAACGAGCCGGCATCAACCATCCATTCCCTGGACAGGGGAATGAACCAGGACAGGCTCTCTGCCAGGATGTTGGACACCCCGAAACATGAATGGCCAGGAGAGCTAAACCTCGAGAACTCAGCAGACGAGTCACCCAAAGCGACCAGCCCCAAAAAGTCAAGGACCACATCGAACCCCCGCAGTTCAGGCAATGAACCACCGGGGAGCAGTTCGAATGGAGCCGGATCATCGACCTGAGAGCGACCAGAATCCTCCGAAAGGACATCCACACCACTGCGAACTCCCGCACCGTGCTGTGGGCCCGATGGAAGGACGAACCACACCCACCCCTGGCCAGTCTGGTGAGCACTGGTCACAAACCTCCAACCAAGAAATGACGTGTCCATGAACACATCAAGCGAGGGCTCGGGTAAGTGCCAAGCCACTGAACCATGGAAAACCGGAAGAGAAAATTGGCGACACAGCAGCCGACGTAAGACTCTTGGAGAGATAGCGAAATAGATGGAAGGGACGTCGCAAAAGAAACCAGAACAGTTGATGAAGCCAAACCAGGCCCGGTGGGTAGACCATCACGGCAAAGTTCAGACTCCTGCAACTGCCGCATGACCCGGGAGCCCCTCGGGAACGAAGGCAAAGCAGAGCCACCAGAGGAAGAGACAAGGAAGCGGTCCGAGTGTCCCACACAAGACCGAATCTGATAGGGGAACCAGACGGGACTTCCTCCAGTTCACCAAGAACCTGAACCCGGCGAGCTGGGTAAGAACCGAAACCCTGGTGAGCAGACACGCAGACTGGCTGGGAACCCCAACCAGCCCGTTGTCGAGGTAGGCCAGAACCTGAACACCTAACAAAAGCAAGTGGGCTACCACGACCCAAGTAAAGCGTGTGAAAACGCGAAGCGCCAGATACAAACCGAATGGAAGACAAAGAAAACAGTAACCCTGATGCACCTCAACAAAAGCGAGCCAGTCCCAGAACCGAGGATAATGAAACGGGACGCTCCAAGATGCGTCCGAGAGACCCAGGGACACCACCCAAGTGTCCGGCTCCAATTGAAGACGGACCTGGGACAGTGTAGCCATCCAAAGGAGGGGCAAAAACCCATGGACCATATGAGACAAGTAAAGAATGAACTGGAGGTCCACGCAGTCCCATGTCAGGACAGGAACAGGCGGGAATCCAACGAGGAACCCCCCTCGATAGGGGGAGATATCGAGGGATTCCCTCCTCGATAAGACCACGCCCCTTGGGCACGAACCCCCCCGGAGGATGGAGAAGTCCGACATAGGATGGCAATGAGACAAGGCTACCCACAGATACTGCACAACCGCAGACAGCAATGGTCAAAAGAGGCAAAGAAAACTGAAGAGTCAGGGCCCAAGTGGATTCCAGGAAAGAAGCTAGCACTGCCCACCGATAGAACGGATGCCAAGCCTCCAACGAGAAAAGAGGGCAGCCTGCGAACCAAGACGACTCCCAGAACTTCATAACAAACCCAGTAAGGACAAAAGATCCATACACGAAGAACACGGAACCACTACGAATGCATAAGCCAGGTCGTGCAGGAGGTAAGCCGCAAGGGCATCCCACACCATATGGGACTGGACGTGGAAAGTCAAAAACCTCCAGAAGACAGAAGCGAAGAACCCACGTGAGCATGGAACCGAGCCCGGGGAAAGGTAGCATGCCATACCAATGCGTAAGAGGAGGGAGAGAAGAGAAAACCACTCCTTGTAACATCAAGCCCCACTCAAAAAACCAGCGTTGAATGTAATGAAACGCCATTTTCTGGGTTAGGCCCGGAGGCTCCCTGGAGCTTATCGGGCTAATGTATGTTTTATTAGACCGGGACATTAGCTATGGAGTTCAGACTTACCAGGGACCAGCGCCAGAACCTGGCCCTTTCAGAGAAGTTTCAGGGAGCAATGGCCCTGGAAAACCTCTTTGTGGTTGGGGGGTTTTCCTTATCTGCCATCGACCGGGGTTAGGCACCCAGAAAGGTAGGCATAACAAAACAAACCCCACATGGTAAGAAACTAAAACAAAAACCAAACAGAGAGGTACAAACTCCCTACAGTCCCAAGGAAACAAGCAAACATCACACTTTACTGCCGCACCACTCGTCCGTACAGCCCTCCCCTCCCCAAGAGGGGGAGGGGGGCCCTAGACCTCACTGCACCGGCTGCCTAACATCAGTTTGGAAGCTAAGCTTCCCTGTTACACCACCAAAAACTCTCACCTCTGAATATCAGCCCAGGACATGTTAGCAAACACAGCTGAAAGAACATAATACCTCCAAACATCCTGGTCACGAGAATGGACCACAAGCTGGTTAGACTTAAAACATTGTGGACGAACTGATATATACGTATAACCAATGAAACAGGATGAGCCCACAAAGAATCTATTGAAGCAGAATTGGTGGCATGAAGGTAGTGGCAGAAACCCACCACCAGACACAGTGCATGATGCAACCCTGGCCAAACCAATCAAGCATCAATAACCAAACGACCCCACCAGAAGCCAGCTGACTTGTTCTTCGCTAGAAAAGAAGGAGCCGGCTGCAAACAATTAAAACATCCACCAGAATCAAAGGAACAGAAACCCCTTCCTCTGAAGGAGAGCATGAGGCAACCCCCACCAGACAACCGGAGGCAATGTAAACCAAAAAACACGGATTGATGAGGACACCGTAAAATGAGTAGAGGAAAGAAAAGCAAGAGCCTGGTCCAAAGACCAAGCAGGCTCTGGCGGTACATGAGCAGGACAGAGGTGAAACAAAGTGTGAGACAGCCTGTGAAATGGTACCGAGATAGTATCGACACTGAATGCAAGCTGCAGCAGCTATGCCAACACTGCATGATACAAGGCAACAGTATTTGGCATGAAATACCAATTAAGAAAAAGTCAAGAAAGAAAGGAGAGCACCACACACTTGGAAACGGAAGAACAACAACGAAGGGAAAGAAATCAGCGAAAGGACCGCCACAAAACCTTATACTGTCGAACAGAAGAGGAACACAGGTGGGACACCATGAAAGAAGCCACCTGCTCACCATAAAGATGGCAAAAAAAGAGGCATAAAAAACAGAAGCAAAGAGCTGAGGCGATCAAATGAACGAAATACATCAACGGGACGACCTTCTGACAGAGGTGGAGCCACAGAAAAATGTCAGTTTGGACAATGAGCAGGCAGTGCCTGAGACCAAGGTTGAGCCAACCTCCAACCTGGCCAGAACCCAGACCAACAGCCAGACTGGGAAGATGATGTACAGTAACCCCCATCTTGACAAGCCCAGCCAAAAGGCATCCACTACAAGCGCCTCACAATTGGATAAAAGAGCTGCATACATAGAAAGGCACTAATTCCATACTGATACATAGAGTCCACCTCTGGGTATCAGTACATTTTGCAAAGCCAAAGGAAGGAAGTGGTATTGACAGACTACTGTGGAAATGGGAAGGAAATGGGACTGACCGTCCACAAGAAAGTTGGACACTTCCTAGATATGAAAAGTGCAGACAGCCAAATCCAGAGAACCTGGTAGAACAACTACTTGAAGTGTCCAGCTCCAAAGAGCAAGGGACTGAAGTGAACCCTCTCCTCCCAGTTGAGATAATGAACCACGGGAGAACAGTCCGAATGGAGCTGAACCAGAGAGCCTGGAAGAACACGAACCCACTGCACTACATGCCACACAGCTGCAAACTCCTAAACCGCATGGTTAGCCCGACGGAGAGGAGGAGACCAACGACCCAAGAACCAGTACATCAGTGATAGAACTGGCAACTTAGACCCCGGCAGGCAATGAGCCACTTTACCCTTCCTTCCAAATGAGTCGGGTACGTGGGACAAATGACCTCGCGTTAGTTTCAAGAGAATCAGATAGTTTGTTTACAAAGTTGGGGGGGTTCATTTGGCAGGCTTCAAGGCTTCGTTCTCTTTTGAATCCAGCAGTGGTTTGTTGTAACTTGATGACTTTTCGGTTGCATTTCTCAGTGATGTGACAAAATGTCACCACTCCCTGTGCCTTTGTGAGGGAGGCCAGGTTCTGGTACAGGTTTCTGGTAGGCCTACAGAACTCCATGGCTAATGCAACCTGGTAGGTAGGAACCATCTTAACGTATAGCTTCAGGGAGCCACAAGGGGCTCCATCCCAGATAATGTTTGAAAACCACGGTTGATTTCATGACCAATCATTATTCATTACTAGCTTCACATGTTCTCTGCAGATTTTGCACATCTTGTGCCATAATTCTTTCACTTATGAAAAAAATTACTTGCCTTTGCCATATATGTTGAATATCTTTCAGAGTATTTTTAAGCACCAATTTAGGTTTTCCTCTTGAATTTGGAGAAGAAAATTGGATCATTCCACTTGGCGGACGTATATAATATGTGAAGTGCACCTCTTGATCTGAAATGAAAAGGACAAAACCAAAATGTTATTTCACAAAAATTTAACGTAATTTCCTGACAATGTCAAAAAACAAACGTTGAATGTATTGAAACGCCATTTTCTGAGCGAGACCCGGAGGCTCCCCGGAGCTATACCGGGCTGATGTGTATATATTAGACCATGGCAACAATCAATCGATAGAATTCTAGGCCTACCGAGGGCCAGAGCCAGAACCTAGCCCCCTCAAGAGAGAGGCACAAGGAGCAATGACCTATAGACACCCCCATATAATTGGAAGCAATCTATGTCTGCCATCTACCATGTCAGACACCCAGAGAGGTAGGAATTCAAAAACAAACTACAGCTGGTAAAAAATTGCAAACTAAAAGCCGAACAAACAAGCAGAACTCCCTAATCGAAAACAAGCATGACTTCGCGACTGCTGCTGTGCCGCTGTCTGCATAACTTCCCCCTCCTCGGGAGGGGGAAGGGGGGGTCCCAGCCCTCCTGCCCCAGCTACTCAACCTCAGAGGTTGATATTCAGATATTTTTGGGAAAAAAAAAAAAGTTAGGGAGGGAGAGATGCTAGGGAGCCTCCAGATTTCACTCAGAAAATGGCATTTCATTGCATTCAACGCTGATTTTCTGTGGAGAGCCCCTTCGGCTTTCCGGACTACCTAACCAAAGATAAAGGAAAAGAGGGACTTACCCGGGAGGCGGCCACCACTCGCTCCTCAACTAGAAGTCAAGACAACTGGCTGCAACCTGCGACCCAAGGCTACACATGCCCGAGAAGGGCCAGGAACATTAATGAGGTACCTTGCGGCCCTGACACTGTTCGACCTCCAAAAGCTCCGTTCCCGATTGTCAGCCCAAGATGCAGATGATGACTCTCAATAACGTGGCTGAAAAACGTTAACCAAACTACGCACTAGAAATTGAACAGATGACGACGTTTCGGTCCGTCCTGGACCATTATCAAGTAGATTGTGAAAACTGACAATTGACTTGATAATGGTCCAGGATGGACTGAAATGTCGTCTCTTCAAATTCTAGTGTGTGGTTTGGTCAGCCCAGGACATATTACCAAACACAGCAGTCAAAGCCACGAACTTACGAATGTCGTGGGAACGGGGACAGACTGCAGGCTAGCTGGACTTTCCTGGAACAGTGAAGAAAGGAAACTGGATCAACCCAAAGCGTGTCCCCGGTCACAGAGGCCGTGGAGCACAAATAACGGCGGAGAGCCGCAACTGTACACAACACATGATGCACCCCGGCCTGACTAACCAAGCACCAACAACCCAAGGATCCTTCCAGAATGCAGCGGTCTCATTCTTCGCCAGAATAGAAGGAGAAGGAGACGACTGCAAACGAACAAACCTATCATCTTGACCAAAAGAGCAGAAACCCTTGCGCTGGAGGAGAGCATGAAGCTCCCTGACCCAACCCCCACAGGCCAATGCCAACAAGAAAATAGCTTTAGACTTGAGAATGGTCCAAAACGGACCAAACCGTCTTCATCCCTTCACCTTCTAGTGTGTGGTCTGGTCAACATAGCTTTGGACAAACAATCAGGAACCGAAGGGACCACAACAAACCAAAGAGAAGATAGATAAGAGAGAACCTAATCCAAGGACCAGGATGGTTGGCCCAGCCTTGGTTTCAGGTGCTGCTTGCTCGGTGTCTGAACCCAAAGGTTTTCCTGCGGCTCCGCCTCTTTCAGCAGATCGGTCTGGTCCTTTACGAGACTGGTTTGATCTTCTCCTTGAGTCTTCATGTCTGATCTTTTTGACTCGAGTTTTATCACCATCTGTTTGGTGATCAGGTGGCTTCTTTGATGGTGTCCCATCTCCAGCCTTCGTCTTGGCGACAGTATAAAGTTTCCTGGCAGTCCTTTAGATTCTTTTTGTCTCTTCATTGGTATACGTGGCTTTCTGTTAAGGTTATTTGGTCTTTTCTCTTTTGGTTGTTCCAGGACCATTATCTTATGCCCAGTACTTGACTTGTCAGAGTTTGGTCCACCAGGCTGTTGCTTGGAGTGGCCCGCAGGCCCACATACCCACCACAGTCCGGTTGGTCCGGCACTTTTTTGTAGAAAAGTCTAGTTTTCTCTTGAAGATGCCCACGGATGTTCCGGCAATATTTCTGATAGTCGCTTGTAGGACGTTGAACAACCGCGGACCTCTGATGTTTATACGTTGGCGGTTTATACAATGTTGGCGGGCCACCGGTTGTAGGGAAAGAGGGTTGTTGCTGGCCACTTGTAGTAAAGTGCGGGAGGGGGGGGGGGTTGAAGCTTGTTGGCAGTAGAGAAAGGTGGTGGTGGCCAGACCAGACCAGGCCTCAGGCCAGACCCTGAACCAGACCAGGCCTTGAACCAAGCCTCAGGCCAGACCCTGGACCAGACCAGGCCTTGGACCAGGCCTCAGGCCAGAACAGACCTCTGACCAGACTTTAGGCCAGACCAGACCTTGGGCCAGACCAGGCTTTGGGCCAGACCAGGCCTTGGACCAGGCCTCAGGCCAGAACAGACCTCTGACCAGACTTTAGGCCAGACCAGACCTTGGGCCAGACCTTGGGCCAGACCTTGAGCCAGACCAGGCTTTGGGCCAGACCAGGCCTCAAACCAAGCCAGGCCAGATAAGGCCTCGATCCAGGCCATACCTCAGACCAGGTCTCAGGCCATGATCTGGCCAGTCTTTAGGCCAGATCAGGCATCAGGCTAGACCAGATCTGGTCTCTGGCCAGGCCTCAGACCAGGCCAAGCCAGGCCTCAGACCAGGCCAAGCCAGGCCTCAGACCAGGCCAAGCCAGGTCTCAGGCCAGGTTAGATCTGGCCAGGCATACACTGCTAGTTTGAGTGTATGTACCGACCCATTTCTAGCCTCGCGGCAGGCTTCAGTATCATGGAATACAGATTGTTTCATGTAGACAATTACACACTCAGACACATCCAGCAAATAATAAAATTAAATAAAGTTAATTAATGTGAATAAGGAATACACAAAGTAATGTACATATTAGTACATATCTGTACATTATTATAAAGTACAAATGTTGACTGCATAGATGCTAGCTGGCCTCCACACCCCTGATACAGCCCCTCACCATTGACACCACCCTTTATTATGAATATTTCAGGTTAACTACGGAATAAGATAAAGTGAAGCCGTGAAGTGTTACAAGTAACTGAAATGGTAAAATTTTCTCAGCTAATTTTGAGAAAAGCCGCAAGTAAGTTTAGCATTGAGGCAGCCACGTGGTGCAACAGTCAGCTGATCACTCGGGCCAGTAGTATTGAGGCAGCCACGTGGTGCAACAGTTGGCTGATCACTCGGGCCAGGAGTATTGAGGCAGCCACGTGGTGCAACAGTCAGCTGATCACTCGAGCCAGGAGTATTGAGGCAGCCACGTGGTGCAACAGTCAGCTGATCACTCGGGCCAGTAGTATTGAGGCAGCCACGTGGTGCAACAGTCAGCTGATCACTCGGGCCAGTAGTATTGAGGCAGCCACGTGGTGCAACAGTCAGCTGATCACTCGAGCCAGGAGTATTGAGGCAGCCACGTGGTGCAACAGTCAGCTGATCACTCGGGCCAGTAGTATTGAAGCAGCCACGTGGTGCAACAGTCAGCTGATCACTCGGGCCAGTAGTATTGAAGCAGCCACGTGGTGCAACAGTCAGCTGATCACTCGGGCCAGTAGTATTGAGGCAGCCACGTGGTGCAACAGTCAGCTGATCACTCGGGCCAGTAGTATTGAGGCAGCCACGTGGTGCAACAGTCAGCTGATCACTCGGGCCAGTAGTATTGAGGCAGCCACGTGGTGCAACAGTCAGCTGATCACTCAGGCCAGTAGTATTGAGGCAGCCACGTGGTGCAACAGTCAGCTGATCACTCGAGCCAGGAGTATTGAGGCAGCCACGTGGTGCAACAGTCAGCTGATCACTCGGGCCAGATCTGGAGAGGTGTCTCTCGACTCACCACAGAAACCACCCGCCCCTTCCTCCCCTGTCACTCCCTACAAGCGCAACCTGCCTCTCCTGACAACTTCACCATTGACACCACCTGCCTTTCCTGACAACCTCACCATTGACACCACCTGCCTTCTCCTGACACCATTATCACTACCTGCCTCCCTTGACAACTTTCACCATTTGCCTCCCCTGACAACTTCCACAATTGACATCTGCCTCCCCTGACAGCTTCCACCACTGACACCACTAACACCAGTCTTTTCTGACAACTTCCATCACTGACACCATCAGTCTTTTCTGACAACAACTTCCACCACCAGTCTTTTCTGACAACTTTCACCACCAGTCTTTTCTGACAACTTTCACCACCAGTCTTTTCCGAGTACTTCCACCACCAGTCTTTTCTATCAACTTCCACCACTAGTCTTTTCTGACAATTTCCAACACTGGCAGTGCTAGTTTTTTCTGACAACAACTTCCACCACAGAAAACACCAGTCTTTTCTGATAACAACTTCCAACACTAACTCCACCTGCTTCCAATGAGAATAACTTCCACCATCTGCCTCCTGACACCACTTGCCCCGACTCCAACCCTCACCAATGACACCACCTGCCTCCCCTGACACCATTTTATCATCCATCAACTATTTCTCCCTGGAAACAATGGGTAAGCAAAATAAAACACTGTACAACTGTTTACACTTTGGTGAATCATAGTTGATGAAAGCCACCTCCAACGCTCGTTCTCGGTGACTGCTTGGATGAACAGTCTTCACTTAATCGAACATCTGTATGTTCCACTGAATAGTATAGTACTGAATTCAATTTGGTCAGATCATCCAGGAATTCGACTGAGCGGGGTTCGTTAAGAGTGAGGATGCACTGTAATGGCAAAGTCGACCTGTGAGATTGAACACCTGAGATTTTAAGAAAAAGAGGCGCTGAAAAATCTGTTCCAAATCCAGGATCTTACCTGGAGAGGGTCTCGGGAGTTCTTCTACCCCTGAGCCCAGGTTGAGGCCTAACTCGACTTGTGATAACTTGGCTCAACACTGTCATTTTCAGCTACCCATAGGCCCACATATTCACCACAGCCCGGTTGGTCCGGCACTTCTTGCAAGAACTTCTCTTAATTGGTTCTTGAAAAAGTCCACCTCTGTTCTGGCAACATTTCTAATGCTTGCTGGGAGAGTATTGAATATTTGTGAATTTCTGATATTCAGACAGTACTCTCTGATTGTGCCTATGGTACCTTTACTCGTCACAGGTTCTTTTCCACATTTCCTTCCATATCTTTAACTCCTGTATGCTGTTATTCTACTGTGCAAATTTGGGACTTGGCCTTCCAGAATCTTTCATGTATATATTATTTGATACCTCTCTTGTCTCCTTTCCAGAGAGTACATCTTGAGAGTTTTGAGATAGACCTAGAAGTTTAGGGGGTTTATCTTGTCTGTGTGTGCCATGTGTGTTCCCTATATTCACTCTATTTCAGAAATCTCTCCTGCTCTGCAAGGGAAAGTGAGTACTGAGCAATACCCTAGACGGGACGCTACCAGTGACAAATAGTATTAGCATTGCTGTGGAATTCCTGGATTTGAACGTTCTAATAATTTATCTTATCATTTTCCTGCCCGCCGAAAATTTGGAATCATATTATTCAAGAATAGAAGAGGCAGTTGATTGTGGTAAGGTTTATGATGTTGTGGACCTTGACTTTAGCAAAGATTTTGGATACAGTGCCACATGAAAGACTGATTAAAAAGATAGAGGCTCATGGTATTGGTGGTGCTATATTAAGCTGGATTAGGGCATGGCTATACCAAAGGAAACAAAGAGTTAGTATAAATGGGGTTAAGTCAGAGTGGGAAAAATGTTGTAAGTGGAGTGCCTCAAGGTTCTATCCTGGGATCTCTAATATATAAAAATAAATAAATAAATAAATAAATAAAATATATATATATATATATATATATATATATATATATATATATATATATATATATATATATATATATATATATATATATATATATATATATATATATATATATATATATATATATATATATATATATATATATATATATATATATATATATATATATATATATATATATATATATATATATATATATATATATATATATATATATATATATATATATATATATATATATATATATATATATATATATATATATATATATATATATATATATATATATATATATATATATATATATATATATATATATATATATATATATATATATATATATATATATATATATATATATATATATATAGAGCACCACTTGGTTTCCGAACCCCTTGGGGACGAGACCCGTCGGTTAACATGTAAGTTCGTATACGAGAAATAGAGGGGAAAAAATAAACTAGAAATGTAAAAAGAAATTTTTCCGAAAAATTTATGAAAAAAACTCTAGGGAAAAAAATCGTCAGGTTCATGGCGTAAATGCGACCGTGTTTTGTTTGTACTCATCAATAAGTGAAGTCCTGATCCGCTTTATAAAAGTCCTTAATTGTTCCTAACTGATTATTAAGACGTCTGGCAAACATCCTCTGGATGTTTCCTGCCAGCCTGCAGGCACATCCTGCCTAAAATATACGATGATGTACTGTACATTTAAGAAACAAATCTGGGTCACAGGTCTGTGGAGTGTGGTTAGGCTTACGGAGTCAGCCGGTCCCTCCCCCACCACCGACACACCTTCCCCTCTCCCCCCACCACCGACACACCTCCCCCTCTCCCCCCACCACCGACACACCTCCCCCTCTCCCCCACCACCGACACACCTCCCCCTCTCCCCCCACCACCGACACACCTCCCCCTCTCCCCCCACCACCGACACACCACCCCCACCCCCCACCCCAAACCCATACACACACACACACACACTCTCAAAGGTCACGTGGTTCACAGTTCACTTCAACACCCATATATCGCTTCCTGCCTGCCTGCCTCCTTCCCACCCTGCCAGCCTGCTTCGTTCCCAGCCTGCCTCCTTCCCAGCCTGCCAGCCTGCCTCCTTCCCAGTCTGCCTCCTTCCCAGTCTGCCTCCTTCCCAGCCTGCCAGCCTGCCTCCTTCCCAGCCTGCCTCCTTCCCAGCCTGCCAGCCTGCCTCCTTCCCAGCCTGCCAGCCTGCCTCCTTCCCAGCCTGCCAGCCTGCTTCCTTCCCAGCCTGCCTGCCTGCCTCCTTCCCAGCCTGCCAGCCTGCTTCCTTCCCAGCCTGCCTCCTTCCCAGCCTGCCAGCCTGCTTCCTTCCCAGCCTGCCAGCCTGCTTCCTTCCCAGCCTGCCTTCTTCCCAGCCTGCCTTCTTCCCAGCCTGCCTCCTTCCCAGCCTGCCAGCCAGCCTGCCTGCCAGCCTGCTTCCTTCCCAGCCTGCCTCCTTCCCAGCCTGCCTCCTTCCCAGCCTGCCAGCCTGCCAGCCAGCCTGCCTGCCTGCCAGCCTGCCTGCTTCCTTTCCAGCCAGCCTGCCTCCCCCCCTGCCATCATGCTAACGGGTAGTGTGTGTTAGGCTTATCTTCGGGAATGAGCCGGTCTCACCCCCACCACCAACAAACCACCCGCCCCCCTACATCCCATCTCTCAAGGTCACGCGGTTCAACCGCGTGACTACCACTCACTCCCTGCCTGCAAGCTAGCCTGCCTGCCTGCCTGCCTGTGCCTGCCTGCCTGTGCCTGCCAGCCTGCCTTTCCCTCCCTAATTCTCACTACTTCCATCCCTTCCTGCCTACCTCCTAGCATCTCTCCCTACCTCCCCCTCCCTATTAGCATCTCTCCCTACCTCCTAACATCTCTCCCTACCTCCCCCTCCCTCCTAGCATCTCTCTCCCCCCTCTCTCACTGATTCTCCCCCCACCCCTCATTCATACTGCCTCCCACCTAAGTTCCATCGTCCATCCACCCACCAGTCAGCCATCACTGACGCAATGGGTGCATTTGGAGCCAACATGGTGCACAGATGTTTCTTGATTGTGCAGATATGTAAAACAAAAGCACATAATGAACATTCCAGCCTTATGGCAATTCAAAATAATAGGAATAATAGGCCGTGAATCTGTGAAGTCACAGTGGGCAAACTGGACCATCGCCCACCCACCACCACAAGCCGGCGTGACGCTTGGTGGACCCCTTCCTACCCGAACTTTGTTCGGGTAGCATGACTCCCCAACCCCAATCGGGAAACTGGAAGTTTCGGATAACTAAAGTTCGGAAACCAAGTGGTGCTCTGTATATATATATATATATATATATATATATATATATATATATATATATATATATATATATATATATATATATATATATATATATATATATATATTAAATGATTTAGATTCAGGTTTGAGCAGTAATATCTGTAAATTTGCCAATGATACGAAAATCGGGAGGGAAATAAACACAGAAAGAGACACTCTTTATCACTTCAAGATGATCTAAATAGAGTTTTGAAATGGTCAAAAGATTGACAGATGCAATTTAATGCTGACAAATGTAAGCTTTTGAGGCTAGATAATGACGAGAGCTACAAGATAGAGTTGAGAATGCAAAATTAAATTGCGAAAGAGATCTGAGAGTTATGATTACTGTAGTAAGAATTTAAAACCAAAAAAATCAATGCATAAATGTTCATATTAAGGCAAATTGGACACTGGGATTAATTTATCAAAGGATTAGTAATAAGACACCTGGTGTTGTTCTCCATCTATAACTTGCTCTTGTTAAGCCACATTTAGATTATGCAGTTCAATTTTGGTTGCCATACTATAGAATGGCACTATTGCCATCAGTCTCCGTGGTGTAGTGGTAAGACTCGCCTGGCGTTCGGCGAGCGCTTTGTCATGGGTTCGTATCCTGGCCGGGGAGGATTTACTGGCCGCAAATCCTTAACTGTAGCCTCTGTTTAACTCTGTTTGAGACAGGTTGAAGCCGTGTACACAAATGAGCCATAGAGACATTACCAAGAACTTCCTTGGTCAGAGTACTGGACTCCATACACAATTTCAAATCTAGATATAATAGAGCTCAAGAAACTCAGAAACCTGCACACCAGTAGACTGACAGTTGAGAGGTGGTAGCAAAGAGCCACAGCTCAACCCCTACAAGTACACAAGAACATAAGAACACAGGTAACTGCAAAAGGCCTATTGGCCCTCGTATACATGTCCAACCCTGGAACAAGATGAGTACATACAGCTTTTAACCTTTGCAAACTACCTTGCTATCTAGTTTGAATATGTACTTCAATAAAATATTCTATTATGTATCTTAGAAAACAAAAAATTAAATTTATACCTTTATTACTGTGATGAGAAGCTATAGGACAAGGTTGTCCACCACTCCACACTCCTGCTACCCACATCAGAGTACTCTGGTACATTCCATATTTTGTGATATAACACCCAAATGATCCTTGAAGCCATTCAACAACTGCATGATGAATTAATTCCCTACCTGAAAGACAAAACTTATTCATAAAAAAATCTAAAACCATATTACAATTCTCTTTATATAAAACAAGAACAAGTGACAATGTCAGGCAGACACAAAAACCAAAGAAAAAGTTAAAGAAACGAAGCACAAATTGTGATTTTATAAAAAAAAACAGAGTTGAATGTAATGAAACGCCATTTTCTGGGTGAGTCCTGGAGGCTGCCGGAGCTATCCAGGCTGATATGTATATCCTTAGACTTTGGCATCAGTGTGAATAGAAGTTCTAGACCTACCAGGGACCACAAGCCAGAACCTGGCCCCCCTTAGAGAGTCACGAGTAGCAATGGCCTATAGAAATGCACATGTAAATTGGAGCATTCTATATCTGCCATCGACCGGGACAGGCACCCTGAAAGGTAAGTGCCCCAAAACTAACCCCTATTCTGGTTAAAACGATAAAAATGGACAAACGAGTAGACAGAACCCCCAAATGAAAACGAGCAAACGAGCTTGTAATAATAATAATAATAATAATAATAAAAGTATTTGAGAGAGTGATCAGGAGTCAAGTCACTAGATTCATGGAAACCAATGACCTCCACAATCCAGGCCAGCATGGATTTAGAGCAGGAAGATCATGCCTCTCACAGCTACTTGACCATTATGACAAAATCACCGAGGCATTAGAAGAAAAACAGAATGCAGATGTTGTATACACAGACTTTGCAAAGGCATTCGAAAAATGTGACCATGGAGTGATTGCACACAAAATGAGGTCAATGGGTATAGCTGGTAAAGTAGGACGCTGGATACTCAATTTCCTGTCGAACAGAACACAGAGTGTAATAGTCAATCAAGTAAAATCGAGTTCAAGCGCAGTTAAAAGCTTTGTACCTCAAGGTACAGTCCTTGCACCACTATTGTTCCTTATTCTCATATCAGATCTAGACAAAAATACAAGTCACAGCTTCGTTTCATCCTTTGCAGATGATACAAAAATCAGCATGAAAATTAACTCCGCTGAAGACATTGAAAAACTACAAACAGATATTAACAAAGTTTTTGATTGGGCAGCAGAAAATAACATGATGTTTAACCCTTAAATGGCGCATAGCTATATACCATTTGACACCCACAGGCGCATACCAAAAAAAAAAAAAAAAAAAAAAAAAAGTTATTTTTTCTTCCTAACCTGTTAATTTGTGTTCACTGATCACGGGAAAAATAATAAAAAAATCGTAAGTGGCATATATTGCCCACTATAGGGCGGGGAAGTGTGGAAAAAATCAGGCGCTGACTGAGCGTGCGTCCAAGGCGATCTGTTGATCGCCAGCTGTCACGCCAGAGTTTCCACAAAGAGATAATTACCTAATTATTTCAATGTCTCTGATTGATTTTTCGTAGTTTTTTTGCTGTAATATTATTCAATAGTGTGTAGTGTGATATATTTATATAATAAAATGAGTGAATCATCGCTGTACTCAAAAATATGGTGTGCATATTGTTGATTCAATTATGTTCATCAAACAGTGAACAAATACTTTGTCGGTTATTACACTATATACACAGGTTATATATAAGTATCTGCATGTTTTGTTCACCATGACGAACCACTAAGTTGGTATGCTGAGTGGTAGTGGCAGTGGCAGGCAGTGACTGGCTGCCACTGGCTGCCACTCCCTCCCTCACCTCACCTGACTTGCCACCATTCTCCACCCACCATACAGTTTTTGCTTTTATATACAGACGTAATATATAAGTATTTACATGTTCTGTTCACCATAACTGTACATCTAAGCTTGTATGGTGAGTAAAGGCAGAGAGACGTAGCTACTCACACAGTCAGCTGGTGGCGGCCGCCCTCAAGGCCAGACGCACTAATATTTCTCCTACAACAATACTGTTTGTGGTGTTATTACGCTATATACACACATGATATATAAATATCTACCTGTTTTATTCACCATAATTGTACAAGTAAACTGATATGGTGCCCAAAGACCATCGTGGTCATCATTAACAACATGATAAGTCCTGCAGACGACGCTCCTCCCTCACCAAAATGGCGGCTCCCAACCTCCTACTCTCGCTGTTATCTCACACTATACACACATTATATATAAGTATCTACATTTGTGTTCACCATAGCGAACCACTAAGCTGGTATGGTGAGTGCAGTCAATAAAAGGTGGCCACACACACTCAAAAGACAACGCCACCATCTTCCCTCCCACAGCATTACTCCTCCCTCCATGGCGCACAGCGCCAAATATCACCACAATCCTGCTATTATCAGAACCCTGGTCAGTTTTATCACAGTCAGGGGTCTTCTGTAATAATATCATCGCTACATAATAGCATGAACAAGTATATTATGGCATTTTTAGGCGATGCTGTGGTCACAAGCTGAACAGCAGTGCTGTGAGCTCATGCTGCGTGCGTCAGGCCTGGTAGCTCACTCAATACTGAGGCCCCTAACACCCTGGAGTTTGGCCCACGATTTTTTTTTAAAATGGCGTCTGTTTACAAGAGCCCTGATGAAGGTGTGGTGAACCCCGTGTATCCGCGGGCCGTTTAAATCTTGCGTAGCACTCCAAAGCATCATATGATGCGATGCGCAATTGAAGGGTTAACGGTGATAAATTCCAGGTACTCAGATACGGCAAAAATGAGGTTCAAAGACATGCCACTAAGTGGCTCCCAGAACTGAAGGACAAGAGCTACAAAGAGAGGTTTGGGGCATTAAATATGCCAAAACTAGAAGACAAAAGAAAAAGGGGTGATATGATCACTACGTACAAAATAATAAAAGGAATTGATAAAATTGATAGGGAAGATTTCCTGAGACCTGAACTTCAAGAACAAGAGGTCACAGATTTAAACTAACTAAACACAGATCACAGATACCAAAGAAATATAAGAAAATTCACTTTCGCAAACAGAGTGGTAGACAATTGAAACAAGTTAGGTGAGAAGATGGTGGAGGCCAAGACCATCAGTAGTTTCCAACTATGAGCATAGCTCTCATCCTGTACCTACACTTAGGTTACACACAGAAATCCCAGTAGCGTGATGCATCAAATGAACAAATCCACAAGGGTCGTAGCTCAGTCGATTAAGGCAGCGTCTGGGATCCTCTCATACAGAGGTTTGAACCCTCGTCACGGCCCTTGTGGATTTGTACACTCAGGTAATTACACTGACTGATGCCAAAGTCTAAGGATATACAGTACCTATCAGCCTGGATAGCTCCAGGGAGCCGAAGGGGCTCCCCCCAGAAAATGGTATAGATGCACAAGATATTTGTAAAGTGACCAGTGGTCTAGGGTGAGGCAGGGACCTGACCTGAAATAAGGTTGGGTAAACAAGTGAAGTAGCCACCCACTCAACCTGGTGACCAGTAAGACAGGACATAAGAGAAAGGACATAAGAAGAAAACCCAGATATAATATCACTTGCAGTAGTAATACATAACCCCCATTAAATGACAAGACCCAGACAGGAGTATGAGAGGAACAACATGGCAACCATTAACATAAGAGAGAGAGCAGCTTTTATTGCCTACAGGAAACAATCTAAACTGTTAACCATGTGTGACTTCAACCAAGGAAAGATAAACTGGGAAAATAGAGAGCCACATGGAAGGGCAGAAACCGAGCTAAAATATTAGACATGGCAACAAGAAACTTTCTAAGTCAAAATGCCAAGGGGCCCACAAAGAATGAGACGAAATGATGAATCAGCCAGACTTGATCTGACATTCACCCTAAATGATTCAGACAATCAGGAAAGTCAAATCAGACCCCTTAGGAATGAGTGACCACCATGTACAGTACTAATATTTGAGTATCTGATGGAAGTACAGTAGTAATAACCTAACCAAGGAAAGGAACAAAAAGCAAAAAGCTGGCATGCCGAAGGAGAAATTATGATAAGAAATTTCCTGATAGGACTACCATGGGAAACAAAACTCAAAGAAAAGTCTGTACAAGACATGATGGACTACATCACCCAGAAGTGTCAGGAGGCAGAAAACAAGTTTATCCTTGTTTACAAAAATCCTCGATACAAAATCGGGAACATAAGAACAAAGGTAATTGCAGAAGGCCTATTGGCCCATATGAGGCAGCTCCTGTTTATACTAAGAGGGAAAATAAACTCGAAAAAAGAATATCACTTCAAGACAATCTAAATACGGTTTTGAAATAGTCAAAAGATTGGCAGATGCCATTTTATGATGACAAATGTAAGGTTTTAAAGCTAAATAATAATAATGATATAGTTACAAGATACGAGCTAGATGGTGTTGAGATTGCGAAGTCGGATTGCGCAAGTGATCTGAGAGTTATGATTAGTAAGAATTTAAAACTAAAAAATCAATTCATAAATGTTCGTAATAAGGCAAATAGGACACTGGGATTTATTAATCGAACCATTATTAATAAGACATCTTGTGTTGTTCTTCAGCAATATCTTGCTCTGGATAGGCCCCATTTATATTACGCAGTTCAGTTTTGGTCGTCGTATTATAGAATGGATATACAGTAAATTCCCTTGAACGTATCAAGGGAGGAGGACTCACTATCCGTATTTATTCTATCACTATCCGTATGAGTCCTCCTCCGTATTTATTCGGAGGAGGACTCACTATCACTTCAAGTTGATCTAGATAGGGTTTTGAAATGGTCAAAGGATTGGCAGATGCAGTTTAATGCTGATAAATGTAAAGTTCTGAGGTTAGGTAATGATGATAGAGTTACAAGATACGAGCTAGATGGTGTTGTGATTGCGAAGTCGGATTGCGAAAGGGATCTGGGAGTTATGATTAGTAAGAATTTAAAACAAAAGGATCAATGCATAAATGTTCGTAATAAGGCAAATCGGACACTTGGATTTATTAATCGCAGCGTTAGTAACAAGACACCTGGTGTGGTTCTCAAGCTATATCTTGCTCTAGTTAGGCCCCATTTAGATTATGCAGTTCAGTTTTGGTCGCCATATTATAGAATGGATATAAATTC